TTTGGGAAGGAGATTGCACAATTGTCTGATGCACAGAAGTAAGAGATGTGGAGGTTTCAGAATTGGACAAATTCAGAGTAAGGGTGAGGTTGTAATGATGAGCATGCAGATGACTGCCAGGGCCAGGTCTTGAAAGGCCTAGGAAACCATGGAACCAGGAAAGTGGCAGGAACTGATTTATATTTTAAAAGAGAGTTTTGGCTACTTGGGGGTATTGAGCTGGCAGGACCTAGAGAGGAGCTGGTGACTATATCTGAGTTAATGAGCTCACTGTTCCAGGGATGTAGCAGAGGATGGAGGGCAGGGAAATTTTTGCAGGACTTGTAAAGGTGGCACATGCAGGACCTGGGGGACCGTGTGCATGTCAGGAGGAGGGAGAGCAAGAAGTGCAGGGAAACCCCAGGTTTTGGATTGGGCCCTGACTGCATGGTGGTCTTGGTCTCTGAACAGGGACCCAATGAAGGCGGTGCAGATTGAAGTTGTGGATTGTTGGAGAACCAGGAGTTGGTTGGAGCATAGTGGATCTGATGTGTTTCAAGATACCTATGCCAGTCAGGATTTCAATAGGAAACAGGTGGCACACTCAAATTAAGAGTGTTCTACAGGGTTTATTTAGAAAGGGACTCACTGCAAAGGCATGGTTAGAATGTGGACTAACCACAAGGGCAAGTGCAGGAAAATGAGGCTAGCAGCAGCCGACCTGTTAGCTACACTACACTGAAGGTCCTAGAGGAGGGAGAAGAGTCATGTGGCGTAGACCAGGGGTGACCTTCAGTTGAGAGACACAGCTAGCCCTAGCCTCCTCCATCCCTTGGGTTTTCTTCCAGGACCCACAGGACCCACCATTGATCAAACCCAACAGGAAGTCTTGTGGGTCCTGGAAGCAGATGAATTTGAGGATCTGAAAATCGTGGGATGACTCTAAGCTGAAAATACACAGTTGGCATTTCGCAAGCAGCCAGAACAGCACACATTCAGCTATGTTGATTTGCTACTTTGCCGAAGTGATTTGCTTTTCAGAAACGATTCTTGATAATTGTAAATAAAGAAATCGACCCTGGATTCTTGGTTTCCAGAACAAGATCTTACTTCATTTACCAATAGAATTATAATTTACTAGCTCTTACAACAACTCACAGTCCATCCTACAAATGCTTATGAAATACGTTTTATTGCCCATTTTGCAGAGGAGGAAATTGTGGTTCAGAGAGAATATGTGATTTGTTCAACGTTACATGATTAGTGTCAGACTCCAGAGTCCCTTCCTTCTTCCTTCATGTCATTAAAAGATTGCATCCCACCAGGGAGTGATTAAGGAGCTCTGGTAGTATAGTGGTTACGAATTGAATTGGGTTGCTAATCTCAGGGTCAGCAGTTTGAAACTACCAGCTGTTCCACCGGAGAAAGATGAGACTTTCTGCTCCTTTAAAGATTTACAACCTTGGAAACCCTGTGCAAGGTCACTAGGAGTCAGAACCAACTCTACCACCACCACCAGGGGGTTACTACCAGTTACAGGTTTGCCTCTTTGAGTAGATCTCAAACTCTTCAAGGGCTAATAGTGCTTTGTGTTCCCAGGTGCTGATACAATGTCTGCCTTAAGCGATCAGTGAATATATTTGAATGGATGAATGTATTCGATATGCATGACAGTACTTTTCTGCCTTTAGTATTGGATAATGAGGAACCAGTGAGGTTTATAGAAATTAAAATGTTGTGTGAAGTGTGAACTGCTATGAGATGGCAAAGTGTCAGCTCAAAGTCCCTATCAGGTTTAATGCCTTAGGTCAAGTTAGTTTATGTGGCTGCTCACCCTCAGAACAGAAGGCTCAATGTAGGAATCTAACTGACAAGAGGCCAGAAAGTTACCACAGGTATGAAGGAATAAAGTCAGCAGTTTGAAACTACAAGCCGTTCTGCAGGAGAAAGATGAGACTTTCTGCTCCTGTAAAAATTTACAGCCTTGGAAACCCTATGCAGGCTCGCTATGAGTTGGAACCGACCCAACGGCACAGACCCACCCCGGCTTCTCTTCCCCTGCCTTTCTCTTGGAGACAGTTGCATGACCTGGAGTGGACGTTAATTATATACAGGGATTGAGAAAACAAATATATTAATATTAATAGGAGTTGGGTTTTTCACTGTATGAGGAGTTACAAAATAAGGAAAGGAGGAAGACTAGAAACCCAAGTCTCTCTATATAAGTGTAAACTTATGGTATATATAGAGACATACCTAACTGCCGACTCATATGACCCTGTATAGGGCCTCGGAGAAGTTGGTGGGGGGTTAGTAGTCCTATTATCCTACAGGCCTCTGCTTACATATAGTTCCTAGCTGGGTTTTTTCTTTTTTTTGGTAACTCTTTTGTAAAAAAACTTCCTCCTTTCCTTATTTTGTAATTCCTTGTTGTTATTGTTGTTATGTGCCGTGGAGTCGGTTCCGACTCATAGCAACCCTGTACAGGGTTTCCGAGGCTGTAAATTTTTACAGGAGCAGAAAGCCTCACCTTTCTCCTGTGGAATAGCTGGTAGTTTCAAACTGCTGACCCTTAGCAGCCCAATTCGTAACCACTATGCTACCAGAGCTCCTTTGTAACTCCTTAGAAGCAATGATATTCCCAAAGGAGTGAACAATAAAACATCCAGATCTTGATTTCTAAGCTTCATCTTCTACCAAGGAAGAACTGGCTGATTCCTAAGCTGGGGCAGTGTATTACAGTGAAGTGGTAGTTTGGGGTTTCTTAGCACCCCTACTCAACAGGTTCACTGGATCAGGCAGCCAAATGAACATTCTGAGGTGCTATGGGGAGATGGCTCATTCTTTTATTCAGCAAAACAGTGCAGGGGAAGAGGTGTCAGGTAGTCTCTAGCCCCTCTGCCCTCTCTAGCTCTCAGAGCTGCCGGGGGGGCTCTCTTCCCTTCACCTCATTCTGTGTCTCCGTCTCTCTATTCTCCCTTCTGTGTCTGTTTGCTCTCTCTCTGGGTGCATTTCTGTTCTCCCTACACCTCCCTGAAGGAGGTCCTTAAGTACTACTACAGAACAAAGAAGGTATCTTGCCACATATGCCCCATAGATTATATAACAGTGTGACATCATTCTAATATGGCGGCACACTTAGCAATGACTTAGCATTCCTTGGTTTCGTAGGAACCATCAGGTCGCCCCAGGCTGGAAGGAGAGGAGTCCCTGATAAGCAATAGCCACTCCCTGGCTATCACCACCATTTGACCCAACAGGTAGGAAAGTTCAAGAAGGGTCTGGAACACCATTTTGTGCCAGAAAATAAGAAACTGCTCAGAGAATGATGTTGTTGTGCCAAAAGACAGAGAAACCAACTTGAAGAGACTGGCTAAATCTGGAACACTTAAACAATACAATAAAAAAAAAAAAAAGTTTTGAATGGATTACAACCTATTGAATAAATAATATAATAAAATTCATGAGTGCATCTGAAAAATTAAAAATAAATAAAAAGTGGGGAGAAGGGAAAATTCTCCCTTCTACCCAGTACAATACCAACTATTTGGCCATCTTTAGGGTGGAGGTTGATTCAGGCAGGTTAAGAAGTATTTCCCTACAAAATATTTATCAATTACAAAGGAAATAGTATTCAATTCGTGCTGCAAAAACCTGGCAGATACTACCAGGACAGGGTGTTGAAGGTCAGTATCACCCTTGGGGCACCATATCACATACCCCCCTGAAGATGTGAGCCAGCATCATTGCTATGGATTCAGGAGTCCTAAGAAGCACTGGACTGCTAATTGCAAGGCCCATGGTTCAAACCCACAAGCTGCTCCTTGGAAACACTACTCAGGGTGGCTATGAGTCAGAACCCACTGGACAGCACTAAACAACTATAACACTGCCAAGAAGACGTGACCTCAGTCTAGATGTGAGGAACTATTGGACAGACCCAGATAGAGAGACATCTTACAGAATGAAAGGCCTATACCCTTTAAAACTGCCAAGATCAAGAAGACAGGGCAAGATTGAGGACTGTCCAGAATGAAGGGGCATTAGAGGCATGACCATCAAATAAAACATGTGATTTGGGATTAAATCCTGATTAGAAAGGAACATAATAACACTGTTGAGACAGGTGGTAAGGTTTGGAAGGGGCTTGTGGTTGGATGGTAGAAAAAAGTGCTAGTTTCCTAGTTTGAGTGATTTTGTAGGGGATTGGCCTTGTTTAGAGGAAAATACAAATAAATATTTGGGAATTATAGGATATCATGCCTACCACTAAATAGTTCAGAGAATTTATGGTTCAATTAGCTCTGAAGATCAAGGAAAATGAGACTATTTATAAAAAGAGGGTTAGTGATGAAATATTAACAAGTGAGAATCTTGGCGAGGGGATACAATGTTTTCTATCATTTTTATTTCTTTAAAAAATGGTTTTTTAAAGGCTTTGTGTGCATCCATCCAATTTGTCTGTGTACATATATGTACTTAAGGGGTCCTGTGTGGTGCTGTAGGATAAGCACTGGACTGCTAACCTCAAGGCTGGTAGCTCAAACCCACAAGCTGCTCCTCGGAAACCTATGCAGGATCGCTATGAGGCTACGAAATCAATTTGAGGGCACTTAACAACAACAAAACATCTATCCAGAAGCTCAGGCCTCCATCCACACTAAATAAATCGGAATTTGGGGTGCTTGGCACTCAGGTATATGGGTTTAAAACAAGACAAAGCACAAAAAACATCCCAGGTGATTTCAGTAGGTGATCAAGTTTGAGAACCCAGGGGAATCCCGTATCTATTGTGCACGGTATCAGCTGTGGAGCTGATTTAACAACTACATTGCTGGCCTCGGGCACCAGGGAGGCGGGTCCTGCGCGCGCAGCTGGTGCCTGAGTGGTAACTTGTGGGGCAGGGGAGGCAGGTGGTCCGGGCCCGCGCCCCTACCCCGCCCCGCGTGCCACAGGCCTCGTGCAGCCGCGCAGGTGTCCTGGGGAAGGCCGGGCCCGCTGGTCCCAGAGCACCGTGTGCCATGGACGCTGCGCCCTCGCCTGTGGAGTTGGGGCCGGGACTGCCGACCCTGCTGTGCGCCCCGCAGGCTGAGGTGCTGGAGGACGTGCTGCGGGAGCAGTTCGGGCCACTCCACCAGCTGGCTGCCATCTGCCGGCTCAAGCGGCTGCCCTCGGGCGGCTACTCATCCACCGAAGGCCTCCAGTTGGTGCTGGAGCGGCGGCGCGCGGCCAACGCCAAGGAGCGTGAGCGGGTGAGGCCCGGCCGCCCTTCGACCGGACCCCGGGAGGGGGTTGACTCCCTTATCACTAAATACTTTCCACCCTCGGGGCCCACAGGCGACTTTGGACGTCCAGAGGCCTGGCTGGTGTCCTGAGCTTGTTGGGGGAATGATAATGGTGTCTCTTTGCGCTTTCTCTCCGTCGTCCGCTGCGGGATGATTTCCTCAACCCTGAACACACCTGGACATGTACGGGGCCCGGGCAGCGCGGACCCTGACCCTGTCACAAACGCCTTTCTTGGCAGATGTTGTGGCAAAGCTTATAACGCAGAGCAGTTGTGCTGAAATCCCACAGCTCGTGCTGGCTGAGTACTGGGAGAGCAAGGGGCCCTCCACTCCCATCCCATCTCCCCTGCCTTCTGTATCTCCGCCTCCAAAGCAAATAGGTGGGGGAGAAGGTGGGCTGGCGGCAGTTCTCTTTTCTTTTTCTTCTTAAAATAATGAACACGCCAGGTCCCCTTTTCCACTCAACCATCTGTCATTGAAGGCCAAGTTTGTCGATCAAACCGCACGCGCTGGAACGCAGACCCGACTGCTCCTATGGGCTGTTATTTGAGCGACATCTACTGGCAGCTTTGAGTATTGTTAGTGTTTAGTCCCCGACGAGGTTGTTTCTCAGGTAGATCTGCACAGAGGCAAAGCCCAGAGAGATGAAAGGGGGTGCTGGTGGAATAGGGTCCGGATGTGGACAGGGGTGGGCTGGACTCAGACCCGGAACTTGGAGAGTGGCGCTGAGGGCTGTTCCTAAACACCTCTGGCCCTTTAGTAAAGCAACACATGAGTCAACTCAGAACTTGTGTGAGGATAAAGATGTGAGGAGAAAGAAAGGAGTGGAGGACAAGACTTAACGGAATAAGGAAAATTGCAAGAGTGAGAAAGCATGCTTAAGCAGTGGACCACACGCTTGGCTTGAACCGCAGGGTCGCTGTGAGTTGGAACTGACTCGACAGAATTTAACCACAGACCCTTTGTGAGACCAGGTGTGGCTCTGTAGTAAATACTGGACTGCTAACTATCAAGATCGGTGGTTCAAACCCACCAGCTGCTCCTCGGCAACCCTGTACAGGGTCGCTATGATTTGGATCTGACTTGACAGCCCTTAACAATAGCAATAAAGACCCTTTATAAAAATAATCCTGTGATCTAGGTGGCCCTAGAAGATGATTCTGATGCATTAGTTTGCTTTTTAAGTGGGCCTTTCCATCAGGAAAGAATTGCCTTTTGCCAGGAATTGATGCTGGTTTTATCTTAGCATTTTAAAGCTAACATTCTCTTTTATAATGAGAAAGTGAATACACCTGGAAAATATAGAAGGGCTAAAGACAGAACTGAGATCCCTAAACACAGATATAACTACATAAACCTTTTTGTATATATCCCCCCTGGCTTTTTTTCTACTGTATGTGCACATATATTACTTTGCAACTCTGTAGTCATCCTGTACAAAGTTTTATAATTTTTTGCTTCACATTATCAAAAATCATTCCTCATATTAAGTATTATTTCAAAAAACAACAACTTCTGACTGCAATACCATAATTTACTCAGTCTCCTACTGCTGAGCATTTACACGGGTTTCAGGTTATTAGTGGTACCTATTTGTGGAATCCTGGCATGGCTGCTAACCTCAAGGTCTGTAGTTCAAATCTGCCAGCCCCTCCTCGGAAACTCTATATAGGTTTGCTATGAATCTGAACTGACTCAATGACACTTAACAACATAACCTATGTGTATGCCTGATAATGGCCTTGGAATAAAATGGTGGCAATTACTGGGACATAGTCCTGGTGTGGCACTATAAGATAAGTACTGGACTGTTAGCCACAAAGTTGGCAAGTCAAACCCACCAGTCACTCCTCTGAAACCTGCCCTCATCTTGTATGTGTATGTATATATATATATATTGCTGTAGTTAAGTGCTGTCTAGTTGGTTGAAATGTATAGTGTCCCTGTATAGAGTTTCTGAGGAGTGACTGGTGGGTTTGAACTGCTAACCTTGATTCATTGCACACATAAAACATCTAGCAGTTAGCAGTCCAATGCTTGTCCTGTAGCGCTACACCAGGACTAACCCACTGTGCCGAGGTATGCCACCCGCTTCACTGCCAGGAGCCGTTCTCCCATTGGAATAGCAGTTCTTTGCATGTCTATTTAGCTTTGCCGCCCAGATAAAAGAAGGAGCCCTCACAACCCCTCCTGTGATTTGGGAGAAATGTCTACAGATTAGCTTCTCTTTGTGTCACTGCCTTTTTGTTTTCTAGATAAAAAATCTCAATCATGGTTTTGCCAGACTGAAGGCACTTGTGCCCTTTCTTCCGCAAAGCAGAAAACCTAGCAAAGTTGATATCCTTAAAGGTGCTACTGAATACATACAAGTTCTCAGTGACGTTTTGGAAGGAGCCAAAGACTCTGAGGTAAAGTTTAAGGATTTCAAATGATGGTCACAATTTGTTGAACCTTTCTATTTACCAGGCACTTCACAAGCAGTTTCCATGTACTTTATGCTGTTAGTGTTTTTAACGATCCTCTGAGCTATGTATGATCCCCATTTTACCAAAGGATGGAATCAAAGCAGAGGTAAAACACACACACAGCTAAAATGCCATGGCTGGGGTTTGAACCCAGGCTTGCATGAGCTTTGGAAACAAATTCCTAACCATTTATACATAAAAAAACAACCACCCCCACCCCCCAACCTACTGCTCCTGAGTTGATTCTGACTCATAGTGACCCTATATAAGGTTTTTGAAATTGTAAATCTAATGGGAGCAGACAGCCTCATCTTTCTCCCATGGAGCAGCTGTTGGGTTTGAACTGCCTACCTTGTGGTTAGCAGTCCAGTGCTGCTTCTACAGTGCACCAGGGCTCCTTACCATCAATATAATTCTGAGTAAATACAATCAACAACACCTAGATCCTAAGTGCAGAATCTTCAGTAAGACCCTGACAGCTGGAGCATGAGGGGAGCCTTTCATAAAACCACTCTGTGGTGATTGTTTGCCTTCAGTAGAACACACACCAGACAGGACATAGAAAAGAAGCAGCATTTAAGGGACCCTCCCACAGGTCTTCCCTTGAGAATCATTTTTGCTGGAGTGCTCTACAGATGCCTGAAAATACCAAGCTGACATGGTTTTGTGACCATCAGGGGAACAGTGTAAATGAGCCTGCTTTGCACACTGAAACACTGCAGTATCACCACCATTATGAGGGGTGGAGAGTAGGGGCAGGTGTTCCCCAAAGTGTCCATTAGGCAGTGGAAGCTGTGGACTAGTCTTTTATGGATTTATTCCATGGAGGGATAAGCATTGAAGGCATGAAAGTGGATTGTTCACTAGAGAAGAAAAAAAGACAAGTGTTAGGGGCCTTAGAAATGGATCTTCAGGGACACCTATTGGCAGGAGGAAGGAGGAAGGAGGAGAAGGTGACAGAATGGTGAAGGAGCCGGATGGGGTCATAATGTCAAGGTGGGAGGGGAGTTCCAGGAAACTAAGGTGGGAAGCTACAGAGACCAAGAAAGGTGCAGGCAGGGTGAGACAACTAGATTCAGAAAGTTGAAAGTCAGTTTGTAGGGACTATTGATAAAATTTGGCATTAAAGCAGAGGGGATTGGCAAACTTCATTCATGGTGTTTGGACATGTGCAGGTGGCTGCCTTTGGATTTCCTTGTATGTGAATTATGTAACAAGTGCTTTTGGGTTTTTTTTCTTCTGCTCTGCGTTCATTATAAAATATAAGATCTGTTTCATGCTATAATTCTTTTAATGCATTTTGACCATTGCAGAGCATTGGTCAATTGATCAAACCTCTTTTCTCCATAGTAACTTAAGCATTGTCTTTATCACTTAAATGAAACTTCATGAGCTAAAACTTTGAAATGTATTGATTTAAAATTTCATAGCATGACTGTCACATGATACTGTCTGACAAGTAAAATATGAGTTCTAGAAACAAAACCCAGATGATAAAGAACTACGGCAACAGTACTTCTGATTCACATATATCATTGGTTAGAGAGCTATCGAGAAATATTACCCACATCCCAACTATGCCATAGGCTTGAAGAAAGAGGAGGCAGGGTTCTGGGCAATTGGTGGCAATGTGAGTCAGTATATACTTGTAACCCCAGAGTATGGTGTCTACAACTGTAGTTGTTATCTCTCCCACTAGGATTCTGGTAAAGTATTCTTAACTACCCACAAAGATGTCAAGCAACTCAGAATGTATGCTGTGAGGGGTGCTATTTTCCATGCTAAAACAGGATTCAAACAAGATACGAGGATAAATAAAACCGTTCATATATGCACAGATTTATTCCAAACTAAAAGTGTGTGAACATGCCGTGTGACAGTGGATGGCTGCAGACAGTATCTCTCAATAATACACTTGTCATAGTCTAGTTAGGGTGACTTCAAAAAATCCAATCAAAACAGTGGCTTCTGAGGAGATTAAGGCCAGTTAAATTCAAGAAGAGATGTCAGCTCAGACAGGATGAATATTTTGGGGACTCCAAGGGTAATCTTTATCGGGTTTCTTGAAGGACACAGAACGATCATGGGAGCTCTTTAGGAAGAATTAAGAAAATAAAAAAGATCCAGGAAAGTTGCACTGAAGAAATTTTTTCCATCATGACAGTACACTTGCTCATTTTTCAAGGGTAGCAAGGGCAGTTCTATGAGAATTTCACTGGGAAACCTTCCCCCATACACAACTACAACTCTGATCTTGCCCCTTAAAATTGTTTTGTTTGTTTCCCAAACTGAAACAAAATGAAACAAAAACATTAAAAAGAACATGGTTTGAGTCACCTGAGAGCGAAAACTACTGTTTAAAGAGCACAAACTTCTTCCAGGAAGGGGTAGAGAGATGAAAGAGTATGTCAAGAAACAGTAGCTTCACACTTTGATAGTTTTGTTTACTCCTAAACGTTTCTATGATTTTGTAGCAATACTTTCTGACTTATACTAATAATTTTGTGACCACCCTTGAGTGGGGAATTGGGCTTGCTAGTCTGGAAATCCATTATTTCTATTATGTTACCAAATTAGTTGGTAAGATGTTCAAGTGGAGAAAAAACTTGTCTGAATCACCCAATACAGACTTGAGCTTGCATTTTAATGACTGTCTCTGGTAGGTGCTGTAGGATCAGCACTGGACTGTAAACCTCAAGGTTAGCACTTCAAAGCCACATCAGAAACCCTGTACAGCGTCACAACGAGTCAGAACTGACTCAACAACACTTAACAAAAACAACAATGAACATATTAGGAGTCCTAGTGTTGTGCTGTAGGATAAGTGCTGGACTGGTAACTGCAAAGTTGGTGGTTCAAACTCACAAGTCACTCCTTGGAAACCCAACACAACAACACTTAACAGCAACAACAATTAATACATTAAAAGATTTTTTAGACTGTGTGGTGTGATAAGTGGGGGAAAAAAAGGTAGCAAATAGCTTGTTATACATAAAGATAGCTGATGGTGGTGGTTGGGGCTGTTGGAAGGCAGCATTATTACTTATTTTCTAAATATTAACAAAGAAGTTTATTGGAATAGCTCTTAATATTTTGCCAAACTGACAAGGCATGCTTCTGTATGCTGAAAGGTTGGGCATATTACCCTGACTGTGACTCAGTGTTATACAGGTTAGGCTCCATACTACCCAGCAACATGAATGCAACAAGAAAGGATTGTAGGAATAGGGAACCACGTGTTTTTAACAAGTTATGTAAAGGGACTAGGGGAGCCCTATGGAGTCAAATGATGGCTGGTTGGAGGAGATTTGGAATAGCAGCTTGAGTGTAAACTCTGGTGGCAGATTAAACTAAAAAACCAAACCCATTGCTGCTTAGGTGATTATAACTCATAGTAACCCGATGGAACGGAAGAACTGCCTATATATAGGCTTTCCAGGCTGTACTTTTAAAAAACTTTTTATTGTGAGTTGAGGGAAGATTTATCAACAAGACCATCAGTTTTACAATCAACAAATCATACACTTTCTCACATCTCAATGATTGCAAAGTGCAGTTATCCCACTTCCCCCTGTGGCTCCTATTTCTATTCCACCCACCTTCCCATCCCTTCTCAACTTTGTCCTTAGGGTAATTTATTTATTTATTTTTTTATTTTAACTTTTTATTGTGAATTGAGTGAAGGTTTACAGAGCAGATCATCAGTTTTACATTCAGCAAAGGATACACTTTGCTTCATTACATTGATTGCAATCCCCTCCATGTACCATTTGTTAAAAGTATTTACATCTATTTAATTCTTGCACTCCTCCCTGTGTCTCCTGCTACCTTCATCTTTCCTCTGCCAACCACTCTTGTTGTGTATTGCCTACCCTGTTACCAATACTACCATGTGTCTACCCTCTAGCTCAAGGAGCTCTGGTAGCGTAGTGGTTATGTGTCGGGCTGCCAACCTCAAGGTCAGCAGTTCGAAACTACCAGTGATTCCACGGGAGAAAGATAAGGCGTTCTACTCCCATAAAGATTTACAGCCTCGGAAACCCTGTGCAGGGTCACTATGAGTTGGATCCAACTCCATAGTACTTAACAACAAAAACCCTCTAGCTCATGAATAATCACCCCCTCTCTGGTAACCATCATAGAATGTTTTATTTAGCAAGAGAATCTAAACTCTTTACAACAGTGGTCTCATACAGTATTTGCTCTTTTGTGATTGTCTATTTTCACTCAGCATAATATCCTCCAGACTCATTCATGTTGTGAGGTATTTTGCAGATTCGTTGTTATTTTTCAGTGTTGCATAGTATGCCATTGTGTGTATATACCAAACTTTGTTTTACCATTCTTCTGTTGATGGGCTTTTCGGCTGACTCCATCTTGTTCCTATTGTGAACAGTGCTGCTGTGAACATGAGTATGCACGTATCTGTTTCTGTCACAGCTGTTATTTCTTGAGGATCTCCAAGTAGAAGCAGCTCTGGTAGCATAGTGGTTATGAATCGGGCTGCAAACCACAGGTCAGCAGTTCGAAACTACCAGCTACTCCACGGGAGAAAGAGGAGGCTTTCTGCTCCCGTAAAGATTTACAGCCTCGGAAACCCTGTACAGGGTCGCTATGAGTCAGAACCGACTCCACGGCACACCACCACCACCAAGTAGAGGGATTACTGAGTTGTACAGTATTTCTATATCCACCTTCTGTAGAAAATGTTGTACTTTTTTTCCGTAGTGGTTGTACCATTTTACAGCACCAGAAGTGTAGGAGGGTCAGTCTTTCCACATTCACACCAAGGCTGTAATTCTTATGGAAGTTGTTGTTGTTAGGTGCCATTGAGTCAGCACTGACCCATATCGACCCTATGCACAGCAGAACGAAACACTGCCCGATCCTGGGCCAACCTCACTACTCTTGTCACGCTTGAGTCCATTGATGCTGCCACTTGGCCAATCCATCTCGTTGGGGGTGTCTTCCTCATTTTCTCTGACCCTCCACCTTACCAAACATAATCACCTTCTCTAGCGACTGATCCTTCCTGATAATATGTCTGAAGTATGAGAGACAAAGTTTGGACATCTTGGCCTCTAATGAGCACTCTGGCTGCACTTCTTCCAAAACAGATCTATTGGTTCTTTTGGCAGCCCATGGCACTTTCAATATTCTCCTCCAATACCATAACTCAAAAGCATCAATTCTTCTACAGTCTTCCTTATTCACTGTTCATCTTTCGCATGCATATGAGGTTATTGAAAATACCATGGCTTGGGTCAGGCACACCTTAGTCCTCAAGCTGACACCTTTGCTTTTGAACACTTTAAAAAGGTCTATGCAGCAGATTTGCCTAATGCAATATGTCGTTTGATTTCTTGACTGCTGCTTCCATGAATGTTGATAGTTGATCCAAGAAGAATGAAGTCCTTGACAACTTCAATCTTTTCTCTTTTGATAAGATGTGAGGATTTTTGTTTTCTTGACATTGAGATGTAATCCATACCGAAGGCTGTGCTCTTTTATCTTCATTAGTAAATGTTTTAAGTCCTCTTCACTATCAGCAAGGAAGGTTGTATCATCTGCGTATCACAGGTTGTTAATTATGGGAGTAGGCTGTCATATATATATAATTTTTTTTTTTTTTCTTTTTGCTGGAAAGTGGCTGGTGGGTTCAAACTACCAAGCTTAATCTCTGCATCATAAGGGCTCCTTGGGGGCAGACTGCTATGGTTGAAACCCTGGTTTCACCAATTGCTAATTGTGTGACCTTGAGTGAACTACTTAATCTCTCTAATCCTCAATTCCCCTATCTGTAAAACGGGAATGATGATTGTACCTGCCTTGTATATAAAATACGTGTGAGTTTAAATAGCTCCATGTCAGCAAATTGTCTAGCATAATATCTGGCATGTCAGTGTTCCCTTAAAAATTGCATTTGCTTTGCTAGCCTGAGTTGCTATGGGTTGGAACTAATTTGACTGCACTTAACAACAACAATGAGCAATCAATAATAAACTACAGCTATTCTAGCTTTGCTTTAGTAGTTGTTTGGGATTTTCTCACTTGGTTCCCACCAATGCTTCACTCTGGTTTAAGATCTGCAGGCTTGTTGGTGACTGGCTAGATTTGGTTCCCGTTTCTGATTTGATGACTGTTTTCTAAGAATTCCATTATGCTCTGTGTATGATGCTCACATTTGGGCCACTTGGGATATAAACTCTTCCTCGTCAGTTAGCTCTTAGGAAACATAAATCCATTGCTAGTACATGAGTTGATGTGCTTCAGTGTTAATTCTGAGTACACATAAAGAATGATGACGTGACCCAAAATGAATTTTGAGCCTGGCTGTGTTCTTTAATAGTAATAATGCTTCTACATATGTTAATTTTCATATGTACTAGAGATTAAGAATATTAATTATATTTAGTCTTCACTGATCAAGAAGAACATGGCATCAGGATTGGGGGCAAACTTATTAACAACCTATGATATACAGATGATACAACCTTGCTTTCTGCCAGTGAAGAGGACTTAAAATACTGATGAAGATTAAACATTACAGCCTTAGATATGGGTTACACCTCAATGTAAAATAATAATAATAATAATAATCCTCACCACTGGACCAATAAACAATATCAT